CTGTCTCTCATGAATAAATAAATAAAATATTTTTTTTAAAAAAAAGTGAAATAAGGACCTGGCTTTCCTTTTCCCCCCAAATATAATCAAATAAATAATCAAACAGCCCATTTATTGAATAGCTAATTCTTCCTCTGTTAATTTAAAATGCCAATTATATTATCTACTAGATTTTCATATATACATAGGCCTGCTCTGGAATTTCTATCTATATCCATTATTGTAAATTTATGGTATATTTTGGTATCTAGTAGAATAAACACAGAAAGGTTTTATTCTCTAAAAGTGGCATTGTTATCAACCCATTCTAGACTAGGTAAGTTAACAAACAAGATATAAGTTTATTTATCACACTTAAAAGTTTCAAATATTATATACTGGGTAATCTTTCATAGTGTGTTAAATAGGCATTTAATATGGAGAATTGTCTTTTCATTCATGAGATTTTTTTCAGTTATACTGATTCTACATCAATTCCTATTAAGCATATTGTCAATAAACATACATTTGCAACTCTTTTTTTTCCTGTTTATTTATTGAATATAATTTTGTAACTGTTGATTCTAGTAACAATTTTGGGTTTGTAATTTGAATGCTTTATCATATTTTTAGAATTCATTTTTTTGTATTTTACAAAAGTATTGATCTGTAATGGACTAGAAAGGTTGTTTTTTTTTTCTTTTAATGGCCCTTCAATCAAAGAAAGTATGTGATGTGATGAGCACTGGGTATTATACTATATGCTGGCAAATTGAATTTAAATTTAAAAATCAATAAACAAATAGCCCTTCACTACAGAGTTTGAGAGGCAAACTAGTTCTAGAGAGCCAACCAATTTCAATTTCCAGTTGTTTGCCATTTGTATAGAGAAATATGATTGATTTTTGTATGTCAGTCTCGAATCCCATAACCTGCTAAATTCACTAAGCAGTTCCAGTCACCTTTTGGTAGCTTCCTTAGGACTTTCTACACTACTAATTCATATTATCTGAAAATAGAGAATTTTATTTCTTCTTTTCCAATCTCATGATTTATTTCCTTTTCTTGTCTTTTTGTACAGACTAGGATCTCCAGTACAATGTTGAATCAATGTGCTGAGAGTGGACATCCTTGTATTGTTTTTAATCTTAGTGGAGAAAGCATTCAGTTCTTTATCATTAGGTATGGCCTTATATATAGGTTTTATGTAGATTGTCTTCTTTTCACGTTAGAGAAATTCCCTTCTAGTCCTAGTTTGCCAAGAGTTGTTAATTCAAAAAATGGAGGTTAGATTCTGTCAGGAGCTTTTTTTGTATCTATTGATATATGTTTGTTTGTTTTAGTCTGTTAACATACTAAACTGAATGATATTTATATGTTAAACTAATCTTGTATTATTGGGAAAACTCAGTTTGGTCACATGTATTATCGAATTCAATTTTCCAAAATATTGTTGAGGGTTTTTACATATATATACAACATGAGCGATACTGGTCTGTAGCTTTATTTTTATTTTTGTTTTCTTTTTAATACCTTTGTCTGGTTTTGCTATTAAAGTAATGCTTGGTAATGCTCATAGAATGAATTGGAAAGTGTGCCATCTCTTCTGTTTTCTAGAACAGTTTGTGTAGAATTAGTATCGTTTCTTTCTCTTTGGTAGAATTCTCCAATGAAGACTTCTAGGAGTTTCCTTCATGACTACAAATTCAGTTTCTTTAATAGATATAGGTGATTTCGGGTTAGCTCCAACACGTAAAGAGCTTGGAAGCTGTCACTCCCATCCTTACAAGAAAACGCTAAACAAACTAAAAATCAATAATGTCTTTGTACCTGTTAAAGAACTGATGTCTCAGGATGAGCCATCACCCTGAAATCTGAAGACAAAGGTGAATTCAAAGATTGCTGGAGTCTGAGTATGGAATAGTAGAACAGTGAGAAATTCCTAAGACTAACACACAATCTTAGGAGGCTCACGTTTTTGTAGGTTTTATCTCCAGGAACACTACCAGAATCTCATGGTCGGTCTTCCATGGCTCTGGCAGGGAAAGGGTAAGAGCAATCATTGTAAAATATGTCCAGTATTCTCCATAACAAAGACCTAAAAAGACCTTAAAACAGACTTATCCTTAGGGAAAAGGGCATTTCTCCTACTCTAACCCACTTTGTTTTTCATGTCTTACCTATGGGGACAAAAAAGCTAAGAGACACTTAGTCGAAGGATGCAGGCCCACTAAAAAAAAATGAAAAAAATTTTTTTATAGTGAGCAAGCATCAGAGTGCAGGGACCAGAGAAGGGAATGGGGCACAGAGGGAGAGGGAGAGAGAGAATCCCAAGCAGGCTTCACGCTCAGCACAGAGCCCAACATGGGGCTCGATCTCATGACCCTAAGATCATGACCTGAGCTAAAATCAAGATTTGGACTCCCAAAGTAATGAGCCACCTAGGTATCCCTAAAAAATTAAAATTTAATCTTGAGATTATAGGCCACATTCTTTCTCATCCATCTTACTGCCACACCAAAAGGTTTCCAATATAATAGCAGTGGATTATAGCTGAGAGAGCTGTAAGACGTAGACTTTCTTCAATGAAGAGCATACAGGGAAGCTCAATGTCAAGGGGACAGACAAAAACAAGAACACAAGGAAATTTGAAGCCTCTGCAACAAACCCCAATTACAGTCCAACTCTTGCCCAGATCAACATAAAACACTAGATCCTATTACTCAATATATGATGCCCAGTTTCTAGTAAGTAATTATAAAGCATGTTAACAAGAAAAAACACAGTCTGAAGCGATAGAGTTTCAATTTCTTCTTGAGTGAGCTTTGTTTTTTAAAGGGATTTGTCCATTTCATCTAAGTTTTAAATTTATTGGCATTGTTTATAATATTCCATTTTTATTTAATAAGTATAGGATCTATAATACTATTCAAAATTTATGCATTTTTTCCTTATCTGGCCAGAGCTTTATCAATTTTATTGATTTTTCTTAAAAAAAAACCCAGATTTTTGTTTTACTAAAATTCTCCAATTGTTCTTCTGCTTTTTGATTTTTGCTATTCTCTTCCTTACTTCCTTTCTTCTACTTATTTTAGCTTCAGTTTGCTCTTTTTCTAATTTCTTAAGTAGAAGCTTAGAAGTCATTGATTTTAAACATTTTGTCTTATATAAGCATTTAATGCTAAAAATTTCATTCTATTCCTTCTTCAGGTACTTTGCTTTGGCAACTATCTCCCCATCTCCTGCATCATCAATTTTTCCCTTGCCACTGAATGAGTCCCATCTTCATACAAACATGCTGTTATGATTGATTATTGGGGGGCAGTGTGGAGAAAAAACTCTGTTTCTCCCTCATCTTCCTCGGGTTATCATCCCATTTCCCTACTGTAATTATAATGGTTATCTGTACTTGATATACTGTGTCAATGTCCTTAACACCCAATATCTATAATCCACCTCACTTAGGTATTCATCCCTACATTGAAATTCCATCTCTCCATATGTAATGATTAATTCTTACTCCTCATTTTACTCATTATTCAACAGCATTGACATACCTTCCCCTCTCAGGCCATCACACTCTCCTGATTTTCCTTCTTTCCTCAGTGGACAACTCCATTTCCTCTTTCCAACCTCTCAACTGGAGTGCCCCAGGGTTCAGTCCTCAGTCCTACCTTTTCCTCTGGATCTACATACATTACCCATTGCCCTTCATCTACTGCTATCCATCCATTGCCTTTTATCTACTACTAAAATTTCAAGTATCATGCACTCAACCTATTCTATGTTATTTCATAATTGGTAGTACACATTTTTTAGTTGCTGTAAAGTAATATTTGTGTGTTTTAATCTAGGCAGTTAGGTTATATGTTCCCAGAGGACAAAAATCTGCACCATTTTGTTCTTTTCCATCCTTTTAAAGTATTTAATACAGTGTTTTGTACATGGAAGGCCCTGATTAAACACTACAAACCCCACCTCTGATTTTGCTCAAGCACTGAAAAATGAATGGTTTTACTACTAGGTAGAAGGATTTACAGTGATCTACATGTATACAAGTACTTCCTATTATTGAGTCTTAAAGCCAAGACCTGCTCAGGGATCATCATCTATTACGGTCACCTTAGAATGTGTCAAATCCTTAAAAATTCTTTTACTGAGACTGAATCCATAAGCCAGTTGAGTGGTTCCATCTATTCAGTATTTTCAATGAGGTGAAGATAAAATAGATACTTCTTTCCATTGGAGATTTCTCATGTGTTGAGGCTGGTCACAGGGAAGTCCTTATTCCAGCTAAATACCAAACAAACAACAATTAAACTAGAGCCACAGTTTCAGTGGGGAAGGGCCAAAAAAATTGTATACAAATCTGGGCTATTACCTAAGAAACGCACACCTCTTCCACTGGCTTACAAGTGAGGACTAAAAAGCTCTTGGTCTCTGAGGATATTTCATCTAATAACACAACATAAACCTGGAGGAGCCTCATTTCCAACCAGAGTGAACAAGCATCACATGGTTTGAGTTTCAGGCCATAATGATTTTCTATATAGTCTGCCTGATGTGTGAAAGCCAAGCTCCTCCCCTTAGCTGTACTGTCTCCATACCAAGGGGAGAAAAAAACAAAAGGACTCTATAGGCTGCTCAGGGTTACTGGATAAAAAGCAAACTCTACTCTCCTTGTCAACCAATTGCCATCTTTAGCCAATATTATTTGATGTTTTATAAATTCACTATTTTACAATTACTTAGAACAGAGTTTTCAAGGTGAGTTTCCAAGATCTTTGAAACAATCTTTCACTTGGTTTGATACACCTCAAAGAATACCTCTGCACTAAACTGTTTCTAAACACACAGAAATGAAATAGGCCTTATGAATTTTAAGATAACAAAGATTTTTCTTTAAAAAGTGTCAGAGTTGACCAGTCACAAACAGAATATACAGCCAAGTTTTATAAAAGACAAAAACTGTAACACAGATACTGAAGAATATACTGCTCCAAAGAAGAGGACACAGGAAATGAGTAGTGCCAAACAATATTTTTATTGTTCACAGAAAAATACAGGTCTGGAAAGAGTCTATTGCATTGTGTATTGAATGCAAGGCCTGATATTACAAGTATATACACATAACAGCATAACTGATATAAAATGATACATATTGTATACTTATATAAAATGATACAGCAGCTACCTCTCTAAATGCTAGAATTTAATAGAAGTAACACCTTTTATTAAATCACAACTGTAAACAATGCAATCATAAACAAAAAGCTCTAAGCAATGCACTTTAAAATTGTTTTGTTGTGATATCTACTTTGTCCACCTGGAGTTAGGAACAGTAGGACCCAAGAAAAACTAATGAAAGCTAGCACTTTCAAGGAGCTCTTCTCAGGGTGCAAGCTGCTGCTGGCCAAGACAGGCGGCCACCCTGGCCTCCCTGAGGCCCTCAGGCCCACAATAACTGCCAATCCCTGCCTTGGGGTTAGTCTGAGGTGACTGCAAAGTGGAAGGAGCACAGGTAGTAGGAAGCTTCTGTCACAACTGCTTGTCCTGACCCTACTCTATGGATAAGAACACCCAGTATGTTTTATGTGGATCTGCCACTCTCAGCAAACACTGAAATGTGCTTTAAGAAAAAAAAAATTAACAATGAGAACAAAAGCTATTTTCTATGCAATCTGCAGTTATCATTTCTTCTTTTCAGCCACTTTTTCATTAGATGCTCTAAAGAGGCTGCTACTACAATATTACCAGCCAGGCTGGCCAGGATTGAGGTAACAAAACTTCTCCAGTTACAACTACTAACTTAGACAAATAAAACATAAATATAAACTCATTAGAGAGCAACAAAATCAAACTGTATTAATCACATGGCAAAATAGTCAAGCACTGCAACAATATTCACATTCCAAGTTCAACTTTATAACCACATTTCCTTCCAAACTGAGAAAACTTTGTGGGGAGGAGAACATAAAATATCAACACCACCTCCTCCTCTCCAAATACTGTCAGGGATCAGAAGGCTCATCATTAATAACAAATGCAGGGAGGAAAAAAAAAAAGGCATCTCAATATATACACAGCCACAGAGGAAAACTGTACTCTCCCTCTGGGCGCCCTTGGCATTAGGCAAAGCAGAGTTTTGTAAAAATAGTGCCTAAGCTGACTATGGCAATGCTAACATTTTAAGACAAATCAGGATTACAAAGTTCCTTTATTCACAGCAAATCAAATATTATTAATTTCCTCAGACAAGAGTCTCACCATCAAAGATTTTCCTCTTGCCTGACAAGTTTTTATAAATGAGATTTTACAATAGCCAACTTCTTTACTTAATATTAAACTATTAATGCACAGAGGACATCCTCAGGGTGCAATGAGTAATATTAATATTCTCATATTTTTCAATACTTTACAGATCAAACATTTTATCAGACTACCCATTTAGGAGATTTGTAGGTCAACAGTGATAACCAACTATGTATGTTTCTTATTCTGTTCATCAAAGAATGCCACGTTCCAGTAGGAATAAAGCCCAGTTCAATGAGTATTTCATTCCCTTCAACTCTGCACAGTAAATTTCATTGTTCTGTCTCTATGTCCATGACTCTTCCTATGACTCTTCTAGTCTAAGGAAAATCTTGTATAATGGTGGAAAACTGCAAACTCTAGTGGAAGTATTGGTATTAATTAGTGTTTCAAAGTACACTTTAGGGGAATAACTGTAACTGCTATGGGACTGTTTACAGCCTTGCTGGAAATCCTATTTCTTCTGAATCCCTAGATTGACAAATTCTAGTTATTTAGCCATGAGAGGGGATTTCACTGATAAAGGTCTAGTTCACGTGAGAAGTTCTGGCCCCAGAAATGATGTGTGGCTAGCCCAAAATACTGGCCACATTTTCATTTAAAACATGTCCATTATTCTCCCCCCCCCCACAGTACTGTCAAATTCTTCCATCTGTCATGGAACACTCTCATTGCTTCACCCATTTCTTTTGGATGTTTTACTGTATATGTGGGATCCACTGAGCTTATTACTTTAATGTATAGGGAATTTTCATTGCACACCATCCACTCTCTGAAAGCCATCAAATGGGAACACTTTTTAGTTAAAGGCACAATTCACTGGCATTTCCTCTTTATAAAGGAAATCAAAAGGGTTGCTAGAAGCTGAACAAATACCTTGGGTATTCCTATAAAGGCAAGGTTATGTCTGCTACTAAAACCCAGAGACATTCGCTAGATCCAAAGATTATATGGATTTTATAAAAGCATGAATTTGGCAGTTTAAGACATTTCCAATTTTACACTATATCACTTGGTGGGGAAGTGCTGGTTAGTATCACAGGAGCAAATTTAAAGTGTCAACATCACACTATTGGCTTTTATTAACTTTCACCAGCTCTAGTGAAGCCTGTCCAAGGTACATCACTCAGCAACCAGCAGAATTGCTCAGAGCTAGAAAAATGGGTTTCACCCCAGCCAGCCCAGGTACCAGCACTCAGCTGGTAAACACTGCCTTGGGGGTAGAACTCATAAAAAGCCTTAAGCCCAGAAAAGACAGAAGTTGCACAAAAATTCTTGGTTTATTAATACCTTCCCAGAAATCAGAAAATAATTAGTTTTAAAGAAACTGAATCTATGCTCACAAACAATGTAAGGCCTCAAAAAGCAAAAAGAATGTAAAAACTACAGGAAAAAATACAGCTTGTTAATAAATAGCTTACTTTGGCTAAAGTATCATAGTAAGTCGTGCAATTTACTATTGCGTGTAGGAGCACAACCTACCATGTCCTCATAAAATAGGGTATGAGTAAGGAGCATGAAAACAGTTCTTAGGGATGAGAGCCCTTTAGCCTTTTGTGACCTAACTTTAAAAGACAAAGGCCGAGCAGGATTGGACATTCACAGATCTACCTGCTCAGCACTAGCTGAGTTGAGAGACAGCTAAACATCTGACATTTATTCATTTATGGTGTTCTCAGGAAGTTCCCATTTGGACACCAATGAGTCTCAACCTGGCTGCATATCAGAGTCATCTGGGAAGCTTTTAAAAATTACCAAATGCCCAGAGGCACCTGGGTGGCTCAGTCGGCTGGGCATCTTGATGCTTGGTTTTGGCTCAGGTCATGATCTCAGGGTACTGAGACTGAGCCTCAAATCAGGCTCCAGGCTCAGCACAGTCTGCTTGTCCCTCTTCCTTGGCTCCTCCCCAACTCACATAAATAAGTAAAATCCTAAAAGTTACCAAATGCCCGGGCCAATTAAATGTGGAGGGTGGAACCCAGGGAACATTCTTTCTGCTTCTTCAGGTGACATTCTAATGTGCAGCCAGGACATATACATCCACTAATGTATCCCTTTCAGAGAGCCGTTGCATGAAAGTCATATTTTACCTAGATGGTTTTGTTTTTTTCTAGATTCCACCAGGAAAAGGAATTTTTAGAAAAAGGCACAGTTGTGCTTCCTCTAAAGATGCAGCTTACTGTTTGGCAGGTGCTGGTTCTTGGGGGTTATCTGGAGCGCTGGTTGAAAAGGAGGAAGTCCTTGTCTTGACATAGTAGGCAGAGCTTCAGATTTCGGCAGCTGCCTCCAGCAACAAAGAACGCCCAGATGCCCATGAGTAGCATGATCATATATGTTGACACCAGATTTATTCCATAATGAGGACTTATGAAGGTCTGCAAAAGAAAAATAAATCAGCTTGCATAATGACAGCAGGCTTATTAAACATGTAGAGTCACTAAAGATAAAGGAAAACATAAGACACTTTCTTTTTTTAATATATAAATTTATTTTTTATTGGTGTTCAATTTGCCAACATATAGAATAACACCCAGTGCTCATCCCGTCAAGTGCCCCCCCTCAGTGCCCGTCACTCAGTCACCCCCACCCCCCGCCCACCTCCCCTTCCACCACCCCTAGTTCGTTTCCCAGAGTTAGGAGTCTTTCATGTTCTGCATAAGACACTTTCAACAGCTGGGGTGCTTCACCAAACATATATGATGTATGTCACATACTGAGTACCACAAAGACACACAGAGCTAACTGAGTCAACAGACACTAGCCCATAGATGTGTGCTTTACTATATTCAAATGGCAAACCTAGAGGGTAATTACAAGTCAGAATACCCAATAGGAGATACATGCTATACAACCGTTTAAAATAATTTGTGTTAATCAGCTCTTACAACGTGCCAAAAAGTAAGACAAGTCCAAGTTACATTAGGATGAATCCTTAGTATTCAAGGAACACGAGGGAACAGCATCTCTTTTTCAGTGGAACAATTGTTGAGGGTTTGAAAAGTTCACTTAAAAAATACTGATGAAATGCCAAGAGGTATGGTGTTACACAACACTGAACACTTCATTATGATCTCTCCTAATGAAGCTTATATGCTAGTAAGAGAGACAAGTAATGAATGAAGAAACAAATAAAGGAATCAAATAATTACATATTATGATGAATGCTAGGTAGAATAATCGTAATTGTGATGATGCTAGCTAAGTAAGAACAAGGTGGTCTATTTAGATTGCTCAGGGGAAGTCCTGAGGAAGTGGCATTGAAAATGACACATATAGTTGGAGGAGAAAACGAGTTTTGTGCAGACTGAGGGAGGGAACCATAGGACAGCAGAGAACTTGGTGCAGCTGAGAACCTGAGAAGAGTGATATTAATATGTGTGTAGGGATGGGGGGGGTGCATGAGATAAGGTCAGAGAGGAAGGTAGGAAACAGTTAATGCAGCAAGTTGATACGGAGAATGGACCTCATCCCCAGTGTAATGGAAGGCCACAGAAGGGGTCAAGGTAAGGGAGCTGAATAACTTGATTTCTATATTTAAAACTGCACAGAACGGATGAAAGGAGGCAATGATGAAAGCAAGGAGACCTGTTACAAGCACTGGCTGAGGAGTACAGGATGGTGACTGAGACCAGGGTGGCAGCAGTAGAGATGAGTGAGTGGGGAATATGAATGGAGAGGACTTGCTGATGGATGGAATATGAGGGAAAATGGGAGGCTAAAATGACTTCCATGTTTCTGGTTTTGGTAAATGGTGGTGCTTTTTATTTAGCTAGATGACAAAGACTTGGAGAAAGATTACGCTCAGAGTGATGGGTGAGAATCAAGTTCAATGAAGACAAGCTAAGTAAGAGTAGCGTGCCTGTGAGATTTCAAAGGACAGATGTCCTTTGGCATTAGGTATATGGCTATGGGGCTCAGAACAAAGGCTTGGACTAGAAAAAGGAATACAGAAGCACCGTTATAGACAGTATTTAAAGCCATGGCTCTGAATGCAGTTACCCAGGGAGCTATTGTAGAGCGAAGGTAAAGGAGAAGCCAAGACTAAGCCCCTAAATTTTTTGTGCTGTTTAGTATCACAGAAGCAAATTAAAAGTGTCAACACCATTCTATCAGCTTGACTCTTATTGAAAAAGAGTCAGTAAAGGGGTCTGAGAAGAGCAAACAGTGAAGTAAGAGGAAAATCAGGACAGTGTGACGTTGAAGTCAAAAGATGAAAATGTTTCACAGAGAGTGGTAGTCAATTCTTTTAAAAGTGCTGAGATGAAAACAAAAACACCAATGTCCATTCGATTTGGAGAAATGGTCTTTTTTTTTTTTTTTTTAATCTTGACAAGTGCAACTTTAGAAGGGTAGCTGAGTAGAAACCAGATTGGAACTACAACTATGAGAGGTGAATAAGTGCAAACAAAATTAGTGGAGATAACTGAAAAATTCTGCCATGATGAGGAACAGGAAAAAAAAAAGGAGTGATGGCTAGAAGGGGAAAAAGGCAAGAGTGGAAAGTTTTATTTAAGATATGTCTATATGCTGACAAAGAGAGGGAAAAGCTGGTGATGTGGGATGAAGGGCACAATCAGAGGAGTGAAGTCCTCATTGGAGAGAACTGGATCTAGAGCCCAGGTGGAGGGATTGGCCTTTGAGAGAAGGAGGGATACATCCTTTACCTAGAGTAAGGTGGGGAGATGGGTTCCCAACTAGCCCAGTCCTTATACTTAACAAAGAGGAGGATTCAATTGGGGCAACCTATCCACCATTCACCTCCATGGCTCCTCACTGTCCTTACTCTCATCCTATCTGCACATGCCCCTGGTTAAGACACCAATCCTGACTATTAGCTCTGGCCAGGAAAATGGGCTGATTCTGTAGTACAGTGGCACCTTCTGCAGAAAAATGCTTTTCTCAAGAGGCATCTGTGGGCATGGGAGGTATTGAGCATATTCTGGATTCTCCAGAAATCCACTGAATTTTAATATACTTCACAGAGTGCTAAGCTCTTTAAATTTTCTTCTCCTTTAAACAATTACAGAATCAATATGTGATTGTTGTAGAAAATTAAAATGTACAAATGAGTAAAATAAGCATTTTAACATCTGAAATTCAGATAAATTAATATTTATTGAACAGAAAATAAAAACTGCAAGTGATAAAGCAAAATTGATTAAACTACATTTAAATGAAGAACTTTTGCTCATATAAAAGACAACACAAAGAGGATGTCAAGATAAACCACAATATAGGAGAAACTATTTACTATATGTACATCTAACAAAGGCTTTTTTTTTTTAGAGAATACAGAAAGAATTCCTAAAAATAAAAAAGACAACCCAATAGGATTATAGGAAAAAGGTTTAAACAGGCACTTCACAAAAGAATTATCCAAATGGCCAATAAATATATGAAGATATGCTTAATCTCGTTAATCATTAGGGAAATGCAAACAAAAACCATAATGTGATACTACAATATACTTAGTGGGATGAGTAACAAGAGTGTGACATACTACCTGTTGGTGAAGAAATGGAGGAACTGCCACTCACAAATTAATGATGGGGATGTAAGCTGATACAACTACTCTAAAAACTGAGTAGTATACATAGTTGACATTTGTACACCACATGACCAGCAATTCCACTCCTAGGCATATATCCAAAAGAAATGTGTACATATTTCAAAAGAGGCATATACTAGAATGCTCAAAGCATTACTGTTCACAACAGAAGCTGGAGATACCATTTCTGCTGGATAATGGATAGATAAAACAAGGTATAGTCATAAAGTAGAATATTACACTGCAAAAAATGAACTAATAACTATACATACAAATGAATCTCACAAATATGCTGTTGAGTGAAACTGGAGTCAGACAAAAGAGCAAATACTATGTGGTTCTGTTTACATAAAATACCAAAAGGCAGGCAAGCTACAGTGTTAGAAGTCAGGACTAAGGTAGAAGGCTCATGGAAACTGATAATGTTTTAGTTTACATTTGGGTTCAAGTTACATAGGTTATATTCATCAGGATGTACACTTCTGATCAGTATGCTTTTCTGTATGTGTATTTTAATATGACAATCACTTAAACATTTCTGAAATCTACTATTCAGAGATAACTACTGTTAACATTTTGGCATATAATCTTTCAAATTTCCGGGTTCTTTTAAATTTATTTTCCTGGGTTCTTTTTTTTTTTTTTTATAAATTAATTTTTATTGGTGTTCAATTTACCAACATACAGAATAACACCCAGTGCTCATCCCGTCAAGTGTCCCCCTCCGTGCCCGTCACCCATTCACCCCCACCCCCCGCCCTCCTCCCCTTCCACCACCCCTAGTTCATTTCTCCTGGGTTCTTTTTAATCATTAAAGAGAATATCAACTATTCAATAATTAACATTTATTGGATTGAGGATACAAAGATTGATAAAATATAGTCCCATCTTGATGACCAAACTCTAGATAGATATAAGAACTATATTAAATAAAACAATGCTGGGATCCCTGGGTGGCGCAGCGGTTTGGCGCCTGCCTTTGGCCCAGGGCGCGATCCTGGAGACCCGGGATCGAATCCCACATCGGGCTTCCGGTGCATGGAGCCTGCTTCTCCCTCTGCCTGTGTCTCTGCCTCTCTCTCTCTCTGTGACTATCATAAATAAATAAAAAATTAAAAAAAAAAGAAAATCCTTTAAAAAAATAAATAAAACAATGCTTTCTGAGGATAAGTGTTATAACAGCTATGAATTAAGAGCTAGCCATTGTGCTGAGTCTGGAATATACACCTTTTCCAGGGATGTTTCACACTGAATCAGTACTTTTCCAAATTGACTTAGGTTAGAGAGAATGGAGTCACTGCAAATAAAACAGCATGGACAGGCATGCCTGTTGAGTAGCCATAATGGATCAATTTAGATGGAGTACATGATGTAAACTGTGGGAAGCAGCAAGAAGGTAAATTTTACACCCAGTAAGGTTGATAAAAGGCTTAGGTCAAAGAAGTCTGGGTATCTGCTACAGCTGATCATTTTCTCAAATACTTGGCTTCCAGAATACCTGTCTCTTGGTTTTTCTCCAATCTCAGTAGTGGCTCCTTCTCAATCTCCTTTGCTGTCTCCTCTTTCCCCAGCCTCAATGTGGGAGTATGCCAGGGCTCAGTCCCTGGGCCTCTTCTCTTGTCTGTTTAAACTTATTCCTTGTAATCACCATTTTCTGGCCTGGATTTCTCTCCCAAACTCCAGACTTCTTCATCCAACTGCCTAACAGACATTTTCACTTGGACATCCAACAGGTACCACTATTTACATTTATAATGTGCCCAGATAAACTCTTGATCTCCCTCACCAGCTTCCCTATCCCAGCTGATGGCAACTCCATCCTTCTAATTGTCCAGGCCAAAATCCTGGAAACATCCTTTGGCTCTTCTTCTTTCTCTCCAATGCCTTAGCCTGTCAGGAAATACTGTTTGCTCTACTTTCAAAAATATGTTCTCAATCTCATTTCTCATTTTATCCATTGCTATTTCATCCAAATTATCACCATCCTCCTCTTGATGACTATAATCTCTTTCCCTGACACAGATTACCCTTAAAACAGCAAAGTGATCCTTTTAAAATGTTAGATCATGTCCCTCTCTTTAACACCCTACAATGACTCCCCTTTCACCGAGAGTAAATGTCAAAGTTCTGCATTATCCAGATGTGGTTCTCACTTCCAACCTCTACTTCCCTCCCACCTTCAACTCTGTAACAGTTTCTCCTACTAACTTTCCCCCTAGCTCATTCTGTTTTGGCCACCCTCACTTCCAAAAAAATGCCAAACAAGTTCTTTGATCTTAGGACTTTGCCACTGGCTGTGCAGTCCAGGATGCTCTTTGTCCAGACAGCCACATGATCAATCTAATTCACTTCTTTGCTCAAGTATCACCTTCACAATGAAGCCTACACTGACCACCTAATTCAAAAATTTGACATCTCCTGCCTCCCTATATTCTGGATTCCTTTTACCCTGCTTTACTATCCACAGCACCTATCACTATAAAATTTATTATTTATTATATCTACTGTTTAATACTGAACTGTAAAAACAGATCTTTATTTTGTTCACTAAACTGTTTTGTTTACCTAGAGCAGTGTCTGGAACACAGAAGGCACTTAGTAAATATTTGAATAAATTAATAACCAATTGGATCCATAAAAAGGACATTTGCTTTTTCATGTAATTTCCTTTCTGATTATAAAAGTGTACATTGTAGGGACACCTGGGTGGCTTAGCAGTTGAGCATCTGCCTTTGGCTCAGGGCGTGATTCCAGAGTCCTGGGATCCAGTCCCACATCAGGCTCCCTGCATGGAACATGCTTCTCCCTCTGCCTGTGTCTCTGCCTCTGTCTCTCATGAATAAATAAATAAAATCTTAAAAAAAAAATAAAAGTGTGCATTGCAGAAAATCTGGAACATGCCAAAAACTATGAAGAAAAAAAGAAGCCACTCAGAATAAATGCTGTTAATATTTTAATGTAGTCTCTTTCCAGTCTTTTTTCCATGAAGATTTGGCTTCACATAGTTGCCATCATATTAAAGGTAACTTTAGTATCCTGCACCACTGAAAGGTTTAAGGTAGGGGAAACAATAAGATTGTATTTTTATCTATCTATCTATCTATCTATCTATCTATCTATCTATCTATCTATCTTTTAAGTAATCTCTATGCCCAGCCTGAGACTCAAACTCATGATCTTGAGATCAAGAGCCACATGGTCTACCAACTAAGCCAGCCAGGCACCCTTGTAAAACTGCATTTTAGATGGATCAAAGGTCAAGGAATCCAGTATGAGAACTTGATATAAATTTTAAATGACGGGGATCCCTGGGTGGCGCAGCGGTTTAGCGCCTGCCTTTGGCCCAGGGCGCGATCCTGGAGACCCGGGATCGAATCCCACGTCGGGCTCCCGGTGCATGGAGCCTGCTTCTCCCTCTGCCTGTGTCTCTGCCTCTCTCTCTCTCTCTCTCTCTCTCTCTCTGTGTGTGACTATCATAAATAAATAACAAAATTAAAAAAAAATAAATTTTAAATGATGGAGAAGAGAGAAGCGTGAGGAACCTTTTCAATACTTTGAAGTGAAAAATTACAAGGGTCTGGACAAGGTAGTGGTGGGGATAATTCCAATGTAAATATATGACAAATTAAAATGAAAGTCAGACCCAAAGCATTAAATAGTTCTTTAAAAATATATCTAGTCAAATTTTATTTTTAAATTTTATTTATTTTGAAAACTGGCATACTTATCATTTCAGTGTGGAAAGAGTAAACTGGGCACTCTTGTTATTGATCAGAATGAGCAAAAATGATACAACTTTTGTGGAGAGTATTAAAAATATTTATACTATTTAACTTCATATTTTCATTCCTTGGAATCTAAATATCATATTGAAAAACTTTCATGTACAAAGATGTTCAAGACAGCATTGTAAGAAGCAAAAGTAGAAAAAGATGTGATCAATCAGTTAAGCAAACGGTAATATAATTTTTATGTAATAAGATTATTAAAATTTATATATTAAAAGGATTTGTAATATCATGGAAATTGTTTAAAATATAGTACATAACATAAAAATAATACAAAACTACTTCAGATTTAACTCTACCCCGAAAAGAAAGATGGAGAAAAATCTTTAATGAAATCAACCAACAAATAGTTATTTTCTATAAGAAGACTTAGATGATTTATTTATCTACCATTCACTCAATAACTTTTCTAAATTTCTTCATTTTACTATGAGCATGTATTTCATTTATAGTGGAATTTACCATTTTAGATATGGGGACCTGAGTTCCAAAAAACAATGTGAGCATGGTGGCAATACTCACCAGGGCAGACACCAGCAGATGGGTCAAAAGAACTATAAGAAGGGCAGACCACTTTTTCTTCTCACAGCCATCAAAAAATATAATGCCCCAGAACACATGCAGCAATATGATAACCAGCGTCATGAAAGCTGAAAGACAGTCATCCATTAGCGTCCAGTCATACAGACAACAGATGCCAAAACCTACTGACCACCTGCTCATGACACAAGCTCTTGGGATACACCACACCACTGAGAGTAAACACCACCTGTCAGAACTAGGACATACATTTGCTCAACTGGTACCTTGGGAAGCAATATTTCTTAACAAGGGGTCAGCTCTGCAGCACCTTCTCATCTAAATGTGAACTTGTTAAATCTAAAGTCAGTTTGGACCTGGCTTTCAAAAAGTTTGAGGAAGGAAATACAACTAGTGTGGTATCTAATCAGATCTTTCCAAATTAGCCTTCTGCACTTTCCTCAATTAAATGGACTACCTTCAATTTAAACCAGTCTGCTCACTAAAGTGGAATTTCTCCTGTATTCTCTCCTTTTCTTAAAAAAAAATGCCAATGGAAGAATAAAAATATTAAGAATTGCAATAATTCTCTCAGATTCTTCTTAAGCAACTGAAACTGAATTTGATCAGCACACTCAGGTTTTTCTGTGGAATAGTGTGTGTGTGTGTGTGTGTGTGTGTGTGTGTCTGTCTGTCTCCTGTGCCCTGGAAACATTTAAAAAGGGCAAGTTCCACATATTCTGAAAGTTTTAAGGTGAAAAAAAAGGCAAATCACTTTTCCTTTTCAGCCACAAAATAAAATACAATTAACACCCACCAATCTGACAAAAATTCAAGTCTGATAATTCTCTTTCACATTGCAGATAGAAAATTCAGCATTACCTAGCAAGTTGAAAATATGTATTTCACTCCAACAATTCCACAGCTAGATCTATATTTTGAAGCAGTTAGTTCCTGGATTAATAGATCACTAGTACCTGAGAACTTGTTAGGAATGCAAATTCTTGGGACCCTCCCTAGACCTCTTGAATCAGAAAATGAGCCTAGCAACCTGTGTTTAAATAGCCCTGCAGGATGGGCAGCCCTGATGGCTCAGTGGTTTAGCGCCGCCTGGAGCCCAGGGTGTGATCCTGGAGACCCAGGATGGAGTCCCCACGTCACGCTCCCTGCATGGAGCCTGCTTCTCCCTCTGCCTGTGTCTCTGCCTCTCTCTCTCTCTCTCTCTCTCTCTCTCCTCTCTGTGTATTCTCATGAATAAATAAATAAAATCTAAAAAATATATAGCCCTGCAGGGGATTCTGATGTATGGTCAAATTTGAGAACCACTGCTGAAACAAATAATTTCCATCATTACCAGAATGGCTAACTTGTGGTGTATTCATACAATGGTACACTGTATGAACTTTAATATAAATGATCTCAAGAATATAATGCTGAGTAGGTAAGAAAGCATACTGTGGGAAAATCCCTATTTATACAAAATCCAAAAAATCTGAAAACAATATTAAAAGGACATAACTACTGTGGTTGGAGCAAAGCAAGTTTTTCTATCTAGTGACAGCGTGCCATCATTTCAGTAAATGATGGTAAATACCTTAAATAGAGGAGGAATTTTAAAATATATATTTGGGATGACAGTAGACTAAAACTCAAATGACGTAAGGTACTTTCCTGCTAAAAAAAAACATCTTTGAAGGACTGATATTGTATCCAAAGTCTAAATATCTGATTACCACACAAGGCCCTCTACATCCTAGACCCATATTATCATCCTTTACTAATCTTCAAATATAGCCTATACAGCAGAAAACCAGAACTCCTATATCCTATGTCTGTTTTTACTTTTTTAACTGATTGTCCCTTTTTCCTGAATACACAGCACTTCCCTGCCGTTTCACCACATCCAAATCTTACTTTAATATCTAGCTTAATGCCATCTCCTTGGTGAATTCTGACACCTACTCTTCATTTTTTAAAAACACTCAGCACACATTTACTGAGCACCTGGATAGACTGGCCTGAAGACTCTGTACAGGAGCTCAGGAGTCACACAGTCCCGAGATGGAATGCCAGCTCCACGGTGTGTCTGTGGTCAAACTATTTAACCTCCTTTGCCTTCTGTTTCCTTTATTTCTAAAATAGGGACAATAATATCTCATAGGGCTGTTGCAGTGAAGAACAGTGTTTTGTAAGCCACAGCTTTTCAATAAATGATACTATTATGTGCTATAGTCTCCTGATTCAAAGATGACTACAGCAAGGCCTTCAGTGACTTATACGGTCAGGCAGGAAAGCAAGGCAAAGCAGCAAGCAATATCACATTTATCCCAGCTTCCTGGGTAGTATGCTTTTTAAAATGCACTCTTCTTCACTCTTACAGATTATTTCTTCCTCTGACCTGTATTACCTTTTACATTTATTTTCTTCCTCCCCTCTTTCCTTAATCCATACAACAAGTACTTATTCGATGTCCTTCATGGGCAGGTACTGTTCCTGGCACTGGGGCTACCACAGTGGATAAAATACAATCTCAAGGAACTTCGCCTCATCCTTTCAGTTTACTGTTTTATTAACAGCATCCAAAAGGGATCTCTCAGACATTCGTTAAAACACTCTATGTGCGGGATCCCTGGGTGGCGCAGCGGTTTGGCGCCTGCCTTTGGCCCAGGGTGCGATTCTGGAGACCCGGGATCGAATCCTATGTCAGGCTCCAGGTGCATGGAGCCTGCTTCTCCCTCTGCCTATATCTCTGCCCCCCTCTCTCTCTCTCTCTCTCTCTCTCTGCCTATCATAAATAAATAAAATTAAAAAAATAAAAATAAAAAAACCACTCTACGTGCTTACTTGACTGCTTATTTATTCAGCTGGCATTAGTTTCTGGCTGCCTTCCATGTCATCATAAGCCTTTATTATTACAATGTGCTATTTAGGATACTGGAATTCATTGTTTATTCCGTCTGCAACTGGTCAGAGGTCCAAGAGAAACTGAGACCAGAATATCTATTGGGCCACATACAGGTAGCTAGAGATACATGCATACTATTTTGATACTTTTCTCTAGTAAATAGAATTAATTTCCACTAGAAATGAAGATTCGCTAATAGTACCTCTAGGATACTATCTTTTAATGACTAAAACTTTCTCATTTCGTGTTCCTAACTATAAAATTCTAAAAGTCCTTCAGTAAATCTAACTCTGAAATTTGCTTTGTTCTAATATTTATAAAAGTAGAAAAATCTCTCTGAACTAATAAAAATATCATGATTCATTTATAATCCAGATTTTTAAAGGAGCTTCCATAATTTTTAGTGATTTGGAACACTTATCAGAAATCTGAACAATTCAGATTGAGGACCTGGGTGGCTCAAACGTTTGACTCTTGATTTCAGCTCAGGTCATGATCTCAGGGTCATGGGATCAAGCCCCAAAACAGGCTTATGGAGCCTGCTCATGATTCTCTCTCTCTCCTTCTGCCCCCAGCCCCCATGTGTGCGCGCTTCTCTCTCTCTCTCCCTCCGGACAGGAAAGGGAAAAATAATTCTAACAAGTATTGTATATATGTTTATGAATTTGCAGCTGCCAGTTTGATAACTGATGTCCAACAATCTTTTAAGTCAAATTCTCTTGGTAAAGAACATTTTGTTTCAACCTATTTCTAAGCAAAATGTTTCAGAGTTATCTTTAAGAGGTTACATTTAGAGGCACCTGGGTGGCTCAGTCAGTTGAGCAAGCATCCAACTCTTGATTTTTGGCTCAGTTCATGATCCCCGAGTCCTGGGATGGAGCCCCACATTGGGCTCCACACTCAGCAGGGAGTCTGCAGTTGGGATTCTCTCTTTCTCTCTCTCTCCTGCCCCTCTTGCTATGCTCTCTCCCTCAAATCAATAAAAAAGTCTTAAAAAAAAAAAAAGAAGAGGCAATATTTACTATTTGGTTCTTTTCTCCTTCTTGAATATACTCCAAATGTTCTAGTACACAGATTCATAAACATCCTCAATTTCACACTCGTCCCTCTCTCCTTTATTCCTGATATTTACTTTTCTGTCAATGGCCTAAAATAGCAACTGATTCTAACACTGGATCCTACCAGTACAGAAACTGCTAACATCTGGCTTTTTCTGACAACTTCAAAGAATCTCTAACTATACCAGAGAGCGCCAGTGACTGCTGCCGGGTGGTAGTAGCGACAGGCAGAGGAGGACTTTGCAAAGCCAAGGGTTAGCCTCAACTGCCTAGAGACAGATGTGATTACTAATGAGCTTCTCGCCTTTTTCCAAGTAAGAAGATAGTCTGGGGTATCAAGGTTCTGTGAAGTAAGGGACTCTTCTCCGTCCCTCTTTGCTGCAGAAATTCTCTGGATTCTTAAGAGATCTCCAATGACCTAGTTCAAGTAGAAGTCAAGCAACAGAACTAAATATTTTTGAAAATTCCTTTCCTATAATAGGGATTTAACTTAAAAATCTTGCTTTAGGGATGCCTGGGTGGCTCAGTGGTTGAGCCTTGTGCCTTTGGTTCAGGTTGTGATGCTGAGGTCCTGGGATCAAGTCCTGTATCAGGCTCCCTATAGGGAGCCTGCTTCTCCCTCTGCCTATGTCTCTGCCTCTGTGTGTCTCTCATGAATAAATTAATAATTTTTTTTTTTAAAGAGACAGGCAGAGGGAGAAGCAGGTTCCATGCAGGGAGCCCGGGATCAATGCCCTAAACCAAAGGCAGATGCTCAACTACTGAGCCACCCAGGCATAAATAAAATCTTAAAAAAAAAAAATCTTGCCTTAAAAAACATGACAATTCTGTGACCTAGTTATTATAATACAGAAGTATATATATTCCTAATCAAATAACATTCTCCAAGATTTAAAAGAGGCATTTTGAAAACCATCTCATATACATACATACACGTACATAGCAATAAGAAAGATGTAGTACTGTCCTTTAATACCAGCCAGATCATAAAGGAGGTGTTCTGAAAGTAATCTGAATGACTACTGGTGTTTAAATAGCATTTATCACTTCATATTTATGGAAATGCTTCTAAAGTATGTTCAAGAGCCAGTATCCAAGATATGTAAATAATTTATCAAACTCAACACCCAAAAACAATCCAGTCAAGACATGGGCAGAAGACATAAAC